AGAGGAAATGAGGTGGATTTTTAGTGCTTCAGTCCCCAACTTGGCGATAGGAGCCCTGGCTGTAGGAGGAAGTGTTGTCCGCTTCCTCGTTGTCTGTTAGCAGTTGGAAAATCCGTAGATAAAAAGGGTCATGCCTAGCGCCTGGCTTCCACCTTGGAAAGCAGGACTGCAGAGAGGTGTTGGCCCTCCCCAGCTTTTTGTTCCCGCAGCAGAGAACGCATCCCTCATTTTAGGATGGGGCTGTGTTTTTGCTCCGTGGTGTGGCACTTCACAAACATCCTGCAGAGAAATGAGTCTCTCTCAGGCCACAAGATGAGCCAGCTCTCATCGGAGGCACGGTGTTTGCTAACAGGACCCGTGAGATGTTCCTCTGCTCTGGCACATAGACAAGTGATGCAGGGGGAGTCCTGCTTGGGCACCCCAGCCCTTTGAAGGATGCCAGGAATTAGATCCGAGGCAGCACACAGTCCTCAGCATTTTAAGGCACGAACCCAGTGATAAGTGTGCCTGGGAGCTGTGCCCCCTCTTCCCCTGTGTGGAGAGTGAGCCAGCCAGCATAGGGTTGCAAGGGTTTTTCTGGACTGGTGCAATCACCATATACTGATGTATCCCCATGTATATTGTAACCCACTTAATTGCTCCCTTCATTCCTCATTTTTCTCTGACAACCATCGCCAGAGCTGTGCTGCACTCAGACTAAATTACTCCGGTCCTACTTATGTGTATTTGTAGTATTTGTGACAAGGCGTAAAATCAACCTTAGAAGTGGGAAGAAAAAAAAAAAAAGAAAGGGGGGGGAAACAAAAAAAAAAAAAAAAAAAGGCCATTGGAGGCTGTGTGCCGTGCCGGGTACGGAGCACCAGGTGGCGATGCTGGACCGGCTCTGCCGCTCCTGGACCACTTTGGCAGCATCCTCCCTCCCTGCCGCCTCCGACTCCTCCTCGCCGCGCCGCGGCTGGCCGCCGCCCGGGGAAGCCCTGGGAAGCAGCGGGAGGGCTGCGATGGTGGGATGCCTTGTCGCTGGGGAAGGTTTTCCCTGCGCCATGCTTGGTCTTGGTGGAGAACAGCTTGGGAGCGATGGTGAAATTGCAGATCTGGTTTGGATTTGGTGAGCTGGCGGGTCAGGGCAGGGTGACTTCAGCCATGCTCAGCAGACAGGAGTGCAAAGCTCACTGGGGCTATTGCCCATGGCAGCTGCAGGAGGGAAGGAACAGGCTGGGGCTGTCGGAGGGGAAGCATGGTGGTACCTGCCCTGCTCCCTCTTGCTGATGCCAGGGGAGGGGAGGGTCTGGGTTTAGTCCCAGTGTTAGCCCTTCACTTGTCCTAATATGTGTCAGTGCTCGGGCTCAGCGCGTCTGGCAGGTCAGTGTCCCCAGTTTCTAGGGGCAGTCTGTGTCTGCAGGCTTGCCCTGTCCCAACAGCTAAGAGCTCCTCAGGGTGGTGGTGGAGAAAGCCGAGTTGCAGAAGTGGTTTCGCTTTACCTAGCCTGGCAAGTTTTAGGCCCCTGGGGAGCTGTTAGAGTGGAATACCTTCAGCTGGACAGGCTGAGGACACCTCTCCTGGGATGTCCCTGCCCCTTGGCAGATGGAGCACCCACACTGAGGGAGAAGATGCCAACTCAAATATGTCCTGGGACAAGAGAGAGTGATCCAGCCAGCTTCTCATCTGCTAAACAGTTAAACAAAAGGATGAGGAGGAAATATCCACGGCTGTGTTGTAGGTGTGTTGCTGAGCAGATCCCTGCAGCAGAGGAGCTATTGGGTTTTAGGGGAACTGGAATCACTCTGGAGAATGCAAATCCCCTTTGGGTCCCTGTGTCCCTTGCTATATGCTGAGGAAGCATCTGCATCTTGGCTCAGCATCTCCCTCAGCCAGACCACAGCTTCAGTGGGCCTTCTCGACAGGTTGCTCAGTTCAGGGCTGGGATCCTCCTGTCTGTTGTTGGGCTGTCACGTCTCTGCAGAGCTGTGGTGGGGACACCTGGTTATATTGCTAACATTCTGCCTGATCTTCAGCCCCTTACCTGGCCCCTACCAGGCTGAGCAGCGTGGTCCTGAGTTTCCTCGCAGCACATGTTCTCTTTCTTGTGCTGGTGAGGTCTTCTTTGTGGTTACAGGCACTCAGGAGAAACTGTGCAAACAAGGCAATGAGAGGAAAGAAGCTGTGGCTTCTTTCTGGGGAGGGTGTGAAGAGGCTCAGGAGCATGGGGCTTAAGCTGCAGGAACATGGTTAGCCCTCGCTTTTACTTTTGTGGCTTCCTTTATTCCTTATGTATGTATAGGGTCCATCAGGGAACCAGCTGTCAATACCCCCTCATCCTCAAGTGCTGAAGGAAAGCCTGAGCCCTCTCCATCCCGTTCCCCCCAAGGAAAGAGGCTCTCATGCCACCGTTGCTCTTACCTCAGCCTCTCGCCACGGCGCTGCTCATTGTCTTTTGCCACGCTTGTGGAAATGGTAAATACTCAGCTGTTCATGCTGCTGCAGAATACCTAAATCAACTTTATTCACAATCACAGTTATCCAATTTTTCACAATGAGTTATTCTTCTCTTTAAACAGAACACAAAACATCTTAAAGTAAAGCAATGAAATGCAAATGACACAAGAACACGGAGGTACGTGGGAACCTACACCAGTCAAACAAAACAAAAGGTTAGGATTGTTGTTACTGTTACTGCTTTTGCTGGTTTTTTTTTTTCTCCTTGGAGAGAGCCTTGCTCTCCTCCTCCCTGCTCACAACCAGAGGCCAGCTGATGCCGGGAGCAGGACTTAACCCCAATTTTTGAGCTCAGATGCTGGGGGATGCTTTCAGCTTCTGCTAACTCCTAGAGTTTGGTCCACAGTAAAACAAACACAGTTATATATTAAAACACTCTGAATTTGAAAGGTGAAAAGGGAATTCACACCACTGCACTGGTACCCATGGATGGAGTTTCTTGAAAAATAAAATATACCCCTTTGCTTGCCCTGCATGGAGGGGAACCAGTCCCACTGGCATGGTGAAGGCTCGGGAGGCTGCTTATTGCACGTTTCCCCACATCCACTGTTTCATCGACACCTTCTCTCCAAAATGTTTGCACTGGAGTTTGTCTAACTACTGAAACAGGCTCCCTGTGTCTGCCAGTCACAGCTCTGTCCTCGGGCAAGCTGGAGGCTGGCTGCATGCCTGTGGGCCGGCCGTGCCGCTGGCATGGCTGCTGTGACCCCCCAGGCTCGTGCCAACCTGGCCTCCTCCCACCCCTCAGTGAGGGGGTCCGGGCACAGGAGCCATGGCCCTCTGGGGCTTTTGACAGCCAGCCTGGAGGGCAGGGCAGGGCAGGGCTGGGTTAGGGGTGCACGTGAGAGGTATGCAAAGAAATAACATAAATCCCTGTAACCAGAATATCAGCATTCAAGTTAGTACTGCCCGCCGCGGCAGGCTGGGGGTGGCTGCAGACCCCCGTGGCAGGCTGCAGTGATGGCGGCGCCTTTAGAGAAAGGCTCTACGATGCGCTCTCCAGCTAGTAGCCTCTTTCATTTCCTCGAGAGGACGGGGCCAGGACATGTTTTTCCAGGCGCTCTCGGGAGCAGCCTCTGTGAGTGCTCCTTCACCTACCTGCTGCCTGGGGGGGCATGATGCCCCCCTCTTTCCCCATGTCCTGTCAGTGGCCATATCCTGGGGCACAGGAGGAGGCTCAGCAGGAGAGGTGCAACTCCATGGCCTTCCCCAGCCTGGCCTGGTGGGCAACATGGTGGGGTGAATGCCACTGCTGCTGTGCCCCAGCCCTGATCACCTCTCAGGGCCCAGACGCCATCTCTTCCTCCCACGTGGCCCTGGAAGGCAGCAGGATGGGGCCGGAGGGGAGACAGGCAGCCCCTGCTGCTGTGGAGCCACCCTGCCTGGGCCCGAGGGCCAGCAGCCCTGGGGCAGGCCAGCAGCCATGGCAGAGCAGGGGTTTTCACAGCAACCATGGGGGCGGGCCATTGCAGGCGCCCACCATGGGGACAGCAGGGTTCCCAACTGGGGCAGGAGGGAAGGGGATTTATTTAAATAAACCAAAGGAAACCAAACCCCTCAGGGTATTTTTTTTTTTCCTTTCCTTTCTTCCTAACAGGTAAGGACAGCCATGTCCTGCCAGTGGGCTGGCTGTGAAGGGCTGAGTACCACCCGGCTGGTTTTGTCTTAAAGCACAGTGATAAAGTTACCAGTAAATGAAACCCGCAGACGTGGGTTTTTACATTCTTCCCCAGTGGGGCTGGGGTTTTTGTTTCTTTTTTTCTTTTATTTTTCTCCCTCACAAGTGCTGTCTGGATGGTAGGGGGAGGAAAGGCGAGGGAGACACATCTCCCTCTCCTGCAGGCCCATGGGGCAGAGATGCTGCTGAATCCCTCATGGAGACCATTCGTTACAAGCAACAGCATATCGGGGGGGGGGGGGGGGGGGGGGGGGGGGGGGGGGGGCG